CAGTACCTAACAAATGCCACTGGATTTGGGGTTCAAGAAGTCACAGGAGAGGGGCCGGCCCGATGGCACAAGCAGTTTAGTGCGTGCGCTCTGCTACGGCGGCCCGAGGTTCACCGGTTCGGATCCCAGGCATGCACCGACACACTGTTTGGCAAGCCATGATGTGGCAGCGTCCCATATAAAGTGGAGGAAGATGGGCACAGATGTTAGCCCAGGGCCAGTCTTCCTCAGCAAAAAAAAAAAGGAAGAGATGGGCCGGCCCCATGGCTTAGTGGTTAAGTGCATGCGCTCCGCTACTGGTGGCCCAGGTTCGGATCCCGGGCATGCACCAACGCACCGCTTCTCCGGCCATGCTGAGGCCGCGTCCCACATACAGCAACTAGAAGGATGTGCAAATATGACATACAACTATCTGCTGGGGCTTTGGGGAAAAAAAGGAGGAGGATTGGCAATAGATGTTAGCTCAGAGCCGGTCTTCCTCAGCAAAAAGAGGAGGATTAGCATGGATGTTAGCTTAGGGCTGATCTTCCTCACAAAAAAAAAAAAGAAGAAGAGGAGGAGGATTGGCAGATGCTGGCATAGGGCTGATCTCCTCACAAAAAGAAGTCACAGGAGAGCCAGCCCTGATGGCCTAACAGTTAAAGTTCAGCATGCTCCGCTTTGGCGGCCCTGGTTCAGTTCCTGGGTGCAGAACCACACCACTCGTCTGTCAGTAGCCATGCTGTGGCAGCTGCTCACATAGAAGAACCAGAAGAACTTACAACCATACACAACTATGTACTGAGGCTTTAGGGGGAAGACAAAAAGCAGGAAGATTGGCAACAGATGTCAGCTTAGGGTGAATCTTCCCCTGCAAAAAAACAAAAAAGGAGAAGAAGAAGCCTCAAGAAACATTGAGAAGGGAATTTTAAGAAAATGATGGGGGTGAGCACCTGTTTGCAAGAAACGAAAGAGTGAGTGGTGAAGGAAGCAGAAGCAGCAGGTGCCATCTCCATGTGGAGGTCTAACAAAGACCGAGCACTACTTATCCAAAATAGAACGCCTGGTTACTCCCCCCCCAAGCCTGCCTGTTCCCTGGTCTTTCCAGCTCTGTAAGTGGCCTTACTACCTAGGAGCTCAAGCTGAAAGGTAGGAGGAACTGCTGATTCCTCTTTCCCTGCGCCCAGACCCAATCTATCAGCAGTTCCTGTTGACCCAGTCCAGTGTGTGTTCTATGTCTGACCATCTCCGCTGTCCAAGTCCACCATTCTCTCACTCCTGGAACACTGCAGTAACCTCTAATGGGGTAGCGGTGAGGGGATGCTTCCATCCCTGCTCCCTATAACCCAGTCTCGCTGGAGTGATCTTTTAGGAAAATAATCAGACCATGTCACTTCTCTGCTTAAAATCCTCCCATAGCTCCCCACTGTGGTCAGAATAAAATTTAAGTTCCCGACCACTGTCCTCCATGAGCCTGCCCTGGCTGAGGTTCTCTAACATCTCTTTCTACTGCGCTCCCCGACCTGCGTCAGCTTCCTGCTCACTGGCTGTCTCCCTGTGCCTGGAGCACACCAAACTTGTTCCCGTCTCCAAGCGTCTGCACCGGAATGTTCCTCTAGGTCTTGCAAAGCTGGATCCTTCCTGTCATTCAGCTCTAAATTACCTCCTCAGATAGATCTTCCATAACCAACTTAATGTGACCTCCCTCCACATAAGATGTTCTACTATCACATCGCTGTGTTTAATTTTACTTATGGCACTTAGCATCTGAAATTATCTTATTTATTAACTAACTGGTTTCTTGTCTGTACCCCCTCCCCCACACAACTGGAGTGCTAATTCCACTAAAACAGAAACCATTTCCCTCTTGCGAATTGCTGAAACGTCAATGCCCATTCTTAGACGTTGTCTTCAAACCTAAAAATAAGCTGAACAGACACTTCGGGGGAATTCACAGGGTGTTAATAAGAATTAGGTGTAATAGGATTGCCGAGTAACACTGGGTACCAGTTGAAGTCAGATAGCGTCAACTTTGTATTCTCCAAGACTTTCCGCTGCTACTTTTAACAGTCTGGGAGGAGTGCAGAAAGGCAGATAAGGGAGACAAGCTGAACTGGGAATAGATATGCTGGACAGTGCCAGAGGTCAAAAGATTATGATATCACTGAATGGTCGAGAAAGCAGATTGGAATGGGACTCCAGCTGGAAGCTGATGGATTAGGATGGATTAGCACATAGGAAACAAGGACCTAAAGTTGCCAACAGCAGGGAAAACCAGTAATACGGGCATGATGGATGGATGACATTGCAGGTAGAATGCTGAGTTCCAAAGGCAGAAGCTCTGAATTGGAGATTTTGGAGATGCGTGCTTTATCAGGATGGTGAGGTCTACAACTGGCAAGTCCCAAGGCCTCTAGTCTATCACTGCACTACTGCCCATGTCTCCTCTACCACCCAAGGCTGCCTGTGGGGCTAGGCTCTTCAGTCTCTCTGGACAGCTGTCTCAGCACAAGCCTTTCTCTGGGTGACTCAACTCTTCTGCAATTATCACCTTGACTAAAGATGTCAATGACAAGTTACTGAAATGCTGAGGGAGGAGATAACATCAAGAAAATTTAATTCTTGAGTGCCTGAAGATTCTTCCTTCTTTTCTTTAGCTAAGGATTTTTTTTTCCTAACTCCTTAACAAGGTTATCAGAGCTCATGAGGGAAAAGGGAGAACAGGCTCTGAATGGCAAACAAGCACTAAATCCCAATCTGGACTCAGTGACAAGAGAATAATAAAAAGATTATAGGTAATTTTTCCTCCTGAATTATAGAGAAGGGGTGGGATTCAGCCCAACAAAACGGACTGGGTCAGGCTGCTCACCTCCTATCTCAGGAGTATTACTCAGGAAAAGGGGAAAGATTGAAGGGTTTCCAGTTGAGGTTGCCAGAGGCTGCCAAGAAAAGTACAGGACACCCGGTTAAATTTGAATTTGAACTTCCCGAGTGGCTGTGCTGGGAGGCCAAACGTTCTGAAGTCATTCTGAATATGAATGATGGTGGAGGTAAATGTTCTTATGTTGACTACTAAAATGAGAGAATTCACTGTTATATAGACACATATATATTTATATAAAGATATTCCCTAAGTACATTAGGCTTTGCTTTACAGCTAAGTTACAAATTGCCTTGCAGCTTTACCCAATAAAAAGAAAACAAAAGTGCAAGGCAGTGACTTAACGTCGGGGAGTTTTGTCAGTCGCCCTGGTGTGAGGAGTTTATTGGATGTGTGTGTGTTAACCTAGGAATTTGCACTGCTCCTGGTTTACCTTATTTTGCCCACTATAGATTAGGGTTTTTGGACAGGAGCAATGAAAGAGCCAATCTCCAAAGTAAATATATTCTCAGGCCTGTGGTGTATCTAAGTTTATTCTCCATTTGTCACAACCACTTTCTAAGTAACCATAATGCAAAATATCGTGGGCCCAAGAGAGGACAAATGCAGAGCGTCCCTGAGTCACTATTTATTTTGTTTGAGTGGTGATAAAAACCAGGTCATTCTCAATCATAGAAACACAGACCTGGGCGTTCTGAAACATATGTTATGTTCCGTTTATGTAATTTCTAGAGGCAGTGTTTTCCAAAGCAGAGGAAGGATGGCAAGGAACTCCTCTACCCAACTGAGCATTATGGCGCAATTAATGTCTCCAAACCTAAGGAAAAAAGGAATGTCTCAACATCGTAGTTTTTCCCCCAGCATCTCTGTGAGAAATTCTTGAAGACCAGCAAATGCCAGCATGCAGTTTAGCCCTAATCACTGCTCTGCAAAGGAGAAAAAAGGAAAGACCATAAAAAATTGCTGGAATAGCTGATGGAACATGAGTATCTGTGAAAGCTATTGTGGGGAAGCCTCACACAGCTAAGGAAATTGCTCTTAATTTACAACCTGGGCTGACAGTCTGTTCCAGACTGATTCAACACTCCTGAATAACCCTTCTCAGCACACCTAAGTGTCTGATGCCAAAAGATCCTAAGAGGGCTGGGCAACTTGGAAGGGACCATACACGGGCCCAGATGGTGCACATCTGGCCAAAAATTAGGAAGAGAAAGAAATCAGCTTCTCAAATCTACAGACAGGTGTTTGGGGCTTCCCAGGAGACCTGCTTAGGAAGGGCAGCAAGGTTGGTTGTAAACTGATGGTTATGTAAAGAACAACAAACGTTCCTGAGAAACAATGAAGAATTGGTACAGATCAGCAAGAACCAAACAGGTGGCAAGAGCGTGGCAGCCCTGCTGTCCACCTTCTCTTGATAACTGCATCATTTCGAAGACGTTTAAATTATTTAGATGATTGTAACCAAGACATCTTTAATAATGCACCAAACAGCAGGCACTAGGTTGAAATCAATTAGACTTCACCGCTAAATTATAGGGTAGAAATTTACAAGAGAACGGCTCTGCGATCGGGGCTGTAGGTATATATGCCTGCCAAAGAATTATATTAGGAACCAAATGGGTATTGCCTCGTCATTTAAGCAGCAGAAAAATCGCCAGGTCCTCCTAAATATAGGGCAATAATAAAAAAACGAGAAACAGGCCCGTACTCTGGGCAAGGTTCTGGATGGCAGGAGAAAAGGCGAGGACAATGGAGGCAGGAATAAATCCTATTCTGGAGGTTTCCTGTGCAACGACAAGCCAGCAAGTCGGGCCACTAGGAGCCTCCCGCCAGAGTGGGCGTCAGGGTGGGGCTATTTGGGATCCGGACGCATCCAGCACCGGGGGTCGTAGGGCGAGACAGGGAGGTGTCACAGGGGCCCGTGTCTTCAGCGCCCAGAGGGTGATGACCCCCAGGTGTGACTGCAAAGGCGCCCTTGCTAGCCCAGGCAAAGCCCTACTGCGGCCCGGCTGGGCTTTACGTCCGGCGGCAGCACGTGGACCACCCCGAGCCCAGCGTCCCGCCCTCGGCCGCGCGGGGGCGCAGGGCGCAGGCGCGCTGCTACCGGGCAGGGCGGCGGCGACGCGACTCCGGGCCGCCAGGGGCCGCTGTGGCGCAGCCGCGCCGGCCTGCGTCGTCGGGGCCGCGGATCGCCGGTCCCTCTTGAGCACGGCCTTGCCGGTTTGGCGGGGTGAAAGGTTGGGAAGATGGCGACGGCCTTGAGCGAGGAGGAGCTGGACAATGAAGACTATTACTCGTTGCTGAACGTGCGCAGGGAGGTGAGGCCTGCGGCGGGACGCCGTCGGGGCTGAGGCCGGGCCCGGTCGTTCGGGAGGGGCGGGCTGGCGGCGACCGCTTCGTCCCCGCCACGGGCGGCCGGGGCCCGGCGAGGAGGCCGCGTGACCCCGCCCGACGTGCGCGACCGCCGGCCGACCGGGCGGTCTACACCGCCCGGACCCTTGCGCCGGGAGTGTCCCGGCCGGCCTCTGCCCCTGCTCTCGGCGGCACTTGTGCCGCATGCGCTGTGTCCAGGCAAGGCCAGAGGCCCCCGCACCTACAGGAGGGAACAGGGTCCCCGAGATGGAAGCTACCGCAGTGGGGTTCCCAGTTCTCCCGGACCCGGTGCCACGCTCAGCTCTCGCACCCGCTCTGGTTGGGGGCTGTGTCATCTCCCCTCGGCCGGCAGAATGGGAAACTGAGTCTCAGACACCAAGGTCAAGGGCACCAGAGAACCTCCCCAGGGGTCTGTCGGCTCCCCGAGTCTTCTGTGGGGATGTCCTGTCTCTGAAGTAGTCCAGGCTTAGAGGCACGTGTTTTGTGCCTTCCTTTCTCCTGATCGGTTGTCCAGAAATTGAAGGACGAGCCTCCCGGACATCCAGCCTTAATTCGGAGGTCGCAGAGTAGGAAGAATCTTTAAAGCCAGAAAAGAAGTAGCGTGCCAAGCACGGCCTCAGCATGCGCCTCCGTTTCCACACGCCAAGTGCTTATACCCTGTTTCCTCACTGAATAAAATAGTAAGAGAGAGCCTCACACTGTGTCTGGCACGTAGTAGGGGTCCAGTAAATTTCCTTTCTTGTTGACTAGTCTAGTTGAGATCAGCGGGAAGGGCAGGAAGGCTTCCAAGATCAGGTCGTAAGGTGGATCGTTTATCTCTAAGCTGCTGGGTTCAGTCCTCCCAGCCCTGCCAGAGAATCCTGAATTCCATCTCTCAGGTTATCTAGTGATCAGAACTAGCCAAATTTGGCTGTCCTAGGCCAAGTTGGTCAAGTATGCTTTGTCAGTCAATATTGGGCTGCATGTTGCTATTAGCTAACGTTTTTTTTTGAGTGCTTACTTTGTGCAGGGCCACCGCACTGAATGAACACTGTATATTGTGTTATCTCGTGTAATTCTCACCTCAGTCCTTAAGATAGGTATTATGATAATCCTTGATTTGTAGTTGAGGAAACTGAGGAATAGAGAGATTAAGTGACTTGCTCAAAGTCACACCACTAACAAGTACAAGAGCCTGAATTTGGCCCCGGGCAGTCTGACTCTGTGGGAATTTGGGGAATTGCAGATCTTATTAGGCTGCCAAAGGGCACCTGGAGGTTCTTGTTCTCAGTTTGTAACTAATCAACAATAAGTCTTTGGATAAATCACTTTTTTGGCCTTCAGTTTCTTTCCTTTTAAATGAGGCTGTCTAACTAGTTATTCTTTATGTGTTCTCCAGTTCTTAGAAGCAAAGCAGTAAATGAAACCAGCTTTTCTGAAATCAGCCTTTCTTTTCACTCATTTATAATTATCAATAATTGAGCAGCCATTTTCCCATTTACCAGGCTTACTGAATTTTGGGCAGTTGCAGATGATCAAAAAGATCTAGAATAGTAGGCTTGGCCAGAGTCCTAGGTAAACATTGGTCAAAGGTATACCTTGAAACTGTGGGAATTTTAGGGCTTGTCATTGTTCTTGGACTGATGGGTGGGAGCCAAAGAAATATTTCTTAAAAAAACATTTTAGTTCTCCCAATGAGTGAAGCCACTGCCCCTATGAAACATGACGCCTTGCTGAAGTCAGTTCGTGTTGCCTTTGTCAGCAAACTCAGTAAAATGTTATCAGGTGTGATGTGCAGATTTTATCTTGCAGGGTTCTCCTAAAAGAGAAATGTTGAAGATAATGTCTGCACTTGATATGTACTAGAGGTTTTCTGTGAAATCAGAAATCAACCTGAAATTGAAATAACATTATTTAGTTGGAGGAAGAGGAGAACTAATCGTAATTCTTACATGGTTTGTTGGGAGAAGATAATAACACCTGTTTAGGTGTTTGCTGTCAGTTCCACATCTTGATGCTATGTAAGTGTAAGTGTAGGAGGTGAGATCTTCCCACCACTACTTCAAAGTACTTTCAAAGAGTATCCTCAAAACTCTGTGTTCAGGAAGCTGAGACTTTTCCCTAGGAATCTCAGATGGAAGCTAAAACCAGGGAATTTTATTTAAAAATTATAGGCCTGATACCTAATTGTAACAATTGGAGTGATAGAGAAATGTCAAAAATCAGCTTAAGAATCTCCTTTCCCAGGTTTTTAACTTTAAAATATTCCCTTAAATTGTATTCCAGAGAGTGAAGCAGGCAGCTAGACAAGACCACCAAATTCTGCTCTAAACAAGACTCATGATCTTTAATGATTCCCTTTCTCTAGTGTTCTGAATTTCCTGTCTTCCTGTTTACAGAATGGAGCCATCTGCCTGCCACACATTGAGGGGAGGGAGTAATTTATCGTTAACTGGCCACACGGAAACCAGGTTGGCATCTCTGGTTTAGTGTTATCAGATGCCTAAAATCTAACTGATCTGAGATTCTGAGATAATTTTCCAAAATTTATTTGAAGAAAGGATTCCTTAACAGTAAATCAGAGTGAAATTTTCTTGATCTTTATACTTTTTATATAAAGACATTTTAAAGATTTTATTTATTTATTTTTTTT